CACTATATCTAGAAGGATCACGAGATTTAAGGAAAATACGTGAATGTTCGAGAACGACGTGGCGTGATACTAGTCACATGACCTCGATGTCGTAACAATATCTTACATATAGACTATATAAAAGTTGTGTTGAAATCTATCTGTTTATCTAACTATTATTTTAGTGATCACATTTTCAGGAATAAAACGTTTTAAGGATCAAAAGTTAACTAGTTTTTCTTTTGTTGATAATAGCCATCCAAGCGTATAGTGGTTATTTAGACAATATGCATGTATCAAACGAAATTAACCTGGTTTACATTTGTCTACTCACGATTGTTGTTCATAACAGTGAACTTCGTGCCTGCGGTACCTCAACATGTACTTTTCGTCGCAAAATACGTGATATCGGAACAAAAACCTCTAAACAGAACACCATGCTGGGAAAAACTTATAGATACTATTTTTATTTGACATTCTATATAGGCCTATGTTTAAAACGCTTGTCATAAGGAATAAGTTATGGTTCCTGTGACCCCACTACAAAACGCGCGAGCTAATGACCTAGTTTTGACGTACATGAACTAAGAGCTACCTTTTGTGTCTCGTCAACCTAACTTCTAGTGACCCAACCTTGCCCTTACTTTTAACAGTTTAGGTTAACAGTTCAGTTCCAAATAGTCGGGAGAAATATGTTAAATGGAACAGTTAATACACAGTCAGTAGTGAAGAGCGTTTGATATTTACGGTATTATGATTCACTAAAAGACTTTTTTCAAAGATCTAATTTAACACATGACAAGCGGTGTGTCAATAAAGTAGCAGCTTTTGAGTGTGTAATACTGGCGAAAGAGAAGTGGTTACTGTTTTTGCGTTGTGTTTTAGTGTAATAAAATAAATTAAAAATATTTTAAGTTGTATTCATGTTTACCTTTGAAAAGTAACAGAAGTGTTGTAGTTTAGAAATTTCAAACGATTTAAATTCGAGCAAAATACGTAGTTTGCCATTTTGATTAGCCTATCTTATTCAACCCAGCTTTAAAGGCCAGCCGCATAATCAGAATATCCAGCGCGTGACGCTTCTCGTTTATGATTCGAGGTTAGAACGTTCGTAGTATTTCGTCAGAGCAGTGTTGTTTCTTTCTTTCTATGTATATGTGTGTGTATGACCCACTGAAACCATCTTGATGTGTTTTTCGATCTTCGTTACATTTATTAAGATTGTTGTTGTTTTTAGGAGAAATTAAATTAGTTAATACCGTTTTCTTGTTAAAACCTTACTCTAAAATTAATTGCAGACAATGTCTGCTGATCGTTCGCTTCCAAGTTCTTCAAGAGCAACAACAAGCAGTGACCGCGGAAACGACACTCAACTAGCGGCCTCAACAGTACAAGATCGGGAGTTTGAACAAAAAGAGCAAAAAATAAACCCTAAAATGTCAAAGGCCCTCAGTACTAGTGCTAAAAGGTGAGATTTTGGATATAGTTTTTCTTTTATCATCAAATAATTAAAAAAATTTAAAGTGAAGTTAATTTTTTTGTGGTTGATAAATTAAGTATAAACAACAATGGCCATAACAGTATAATTCGATATGAGGCCTTTTTTTCAAGTAATCTTTTAAGGCCTTTGTGCCTGAGACGTGTAATTTAAGAATCTAAGGCCTACTTGTCTAAAACTAGTAATCTTCTAAGGCCTTTGTTTCTGTAGCGTTGTAAAGACATCAAGTTACCTGTAATGCACAAATCACACCTAGTGTTTCTTATATTTACACCAGGCATGGTTAGTAAAATACTGTAAATCTAATTCTGAAAGGTGACAGTGGGTGTAATTTTTGCTCTACGTTTACTCATAATGTTGAAATGCTAGTCACTTTGCTGTTAGTATTAATAAAGTAACATAATGTCTGGATGGTAAAATAAGTGTTTTTCAATACATGCACAAAGTCAACTTTCTATTTAATAGGTACTGAACTCAAATAAAATGCAATTAATGGTGTATAGGTATTTTCAATATAAACTTAATAATAATAAAGTATTTTGTGAACAGTATTTTAGGTAAAGCAAAAATACTTATTGTATAAATTAGAATTATTTCGATAAGAGTATTGACTGTTTTGTATATTTCGAAAAGCCTCTGAAATTAATAACGTTTATTTTAACAATTTAGAATCCAAAAAGAACTGGCAGAGATTACACTTGATCCACCGCCAAACTGCAGGTAAGATACATGTTTTTTCATTTTTTATTTCAATAAGTTGTAGAAGAGCTAACGCTTATCACAGTTTTTAGAGACATGTATCATTAATGGTTGGATGTGTAACCCATGTTGTAGAAGAACTAACGGTCGTCACAGTTTTAAGAGACATGTATTATTATTAGTTGGATATGTAAGCATTGGTCTTTACAGGAAGTTTTTGGATTTTTCATATATTTCAGTTCAGTGACCTTATTTTTTACGTTGCAAGTAAATTGGAGAGGAGATTGGGGACTATTGGACGTCATGGGTAGTTGATTAGAATGTAGTACATCCTAGAACGTGATCACAACTGTATTTTATAACTTGTTTTATAAGAGTGAATGAAGTAATTAAGTTTTCTGAGATATTTAGCTATGATTTTTTTTTAATTTTACGTATTAGTGTTATTTTCACTGTGTTGGTAAATAAATATTACATGCAATACGCGCTAAAATATCTGTTAGTCAGTATGCTAATTTGTAGTTCTTCAAGATATATTGACATCCTGTACCTAACAGTTTGTATTCCAGAAATAACTTAAGGCGCGATAGAATTATATTGTAATATGGAGTTAAAGCGAATTTCTCTGACTCTGACTGACTATGAGAGAAGAAAATGACAGAACACAATTTGACAAAATGTAGAACAAGCTTGATTTACCACAAACACAATAAAAACAATGAATGCCCAGTGCTTTTGCCTGGTGTTTTTAATAGAGCTCTGCAGTTATTGGTCGGCCGTCTTACTAACTCACACTGTGTACACACTGTTGGCCATTCCATTAAAAAAAACACGTATTACATGACTTTCCAATAGAACGTGAAGTCAAGGAACCCAGTTGAAGTTGATGTATTATAGAGATGATCGATATTAGCCGTCTCTACAATTTATTAGGAAACGACCACTTTACACCTGCCATAAAGTGTACTCCAACTATTTGAATCACAGTTATCTTTCTCAAAAGTTAGTGTACAAGATACCTAAGGGCAATGACCCAGTTCAGTAGGTAGGTAGTGCGAAAGTAATTTGGTCACCTTTCTTGACCAACGTTCTATTGTTATAGCTACATACACGGCTAGAAATATGTGAAAAAAGTTAAAAATAAAGAAATCACTTATTTGCGTATCGACGAGATTGAAAGATTAAATCTGCTTCTTCGTCTGTAAATAGTATTTGAGTTTTTAATATCAGATCAAAGGTCTTTAACTTGTATACTGCTGTTTATTGCCATGCACAGCCTTCTTGTTATACAAAATTAGAAACAAATGTTCTACACTTAAGTTTAAATTAATATTTTTATCATTTTGGTTCTCTTAACATAAATCTTAATGAATTATCGATAATTTAACAGTCAGGTGAATGGTGTGCCTCACATATCTTATTTTACATTTTCTTATTTATACTTAATACACAGAAATTACAACATGAAAAAAATAAAGCATATCTTCATAATCAACAATTAAAATTACTGTTCCATGTGTGTGTGTGTGTAGAGAAGAAACCAGTGTGATTCTCTATATAAGGAATCATTATATAATAAATATTAACTGTATCATTATATAATGAAATATTAACTGTATCATTATATAATGAAATATTAACTGTATCATTATATAATGAAATATTAACTGTATCATTATATAATGAAATATTAACTGTGTCATTATATAATGAAATATTAACTGTATCATTATACAATAAAATATTAACTGTATCATTATATAATGAAATATTAACTGTGTCATTATATAATGAAATATTAACTGTGTCATTATATAATGAAAT